CCCCAAAACCCCAAAACCCCTAGATTCTAAAATATCAAAATAACTGCAATTTGATAAATAATGATCTAAATAAGTTTGCTTTTTTATTTTATATTCACCGTAACATTAATCTTTGCTAATTTTAAAATGCGGGGATCTAGGGATATTAGCCACTTCTTTAATGAGGTGGCATAACCATGTTTTGTTATTACAAAGCCAGTTACTGCTGCTATTCATTAATAATTTTTTGTTACTTTTCTAATTCAAATATCACATTAGGTAGTTCCTCATAAGCAACTTAATCAAGTTTAGAATCAATATTAGTTTCAATAGCCTTTAGAGTTTCCCAAGCATTAAGGGTGATATCATCATGAGGACCAAAGCATTTGTAAAACACGCAAAATGCTCTTCTAATCCAGGGTGATGCCGCAATAAAACTTCCATTCTCCTAATAAGCAAAAGCCATCTTAGTATATGTGTCAGCTGTCTCAGGGTGGTCAAAGCCAAGCAATGTTTCATAAATGTCAATAGCATTTGCTAAGTTCTGATACATATCACCTATATTGTTCTCTTGTTCCCTATAATGAGAGAACTAAGTTGCTCTGGGTTTGAATAATCGAGCTAGAGCTACGTAGATTTAAGCTGCTTCAATACTAAGATCCTTTTTCTAAAATTTAAATATCAGTAAATGTAGATCTTACAATGTCAATTAAGACTTAAAGCGAATTCTAGAAATAGTATCTACTCTCCATACTTAACTCATCTTCACTCACAGCAAATGATTTATTCCATCTAGAATTTTCTGGTCTACCTCTTTCTTGATGCCTGCTCTCAAGTTGCTCAGCCATCTCTTTTAGCACTCTTGCATAGTGAATGCTTTGCTAACCCCCATAAATACTTTCACAAATGTTGATCGCCATCCTGAATAACTCAGTTGATTCTACTCTCTCATCACCTCCAATCATATACCATTGAGACCTTTTGCCTTCGTTGTCCTTTAATCTTGCACAATCTAGAATCATGTGAAGGCTAGATGGAAATTTATCCTAAGGTGCCATTAATGCTAGGTTAGTCATCATTTGATCTTAATAATCCTTAACAGAAGGTATTATGTTTTCAATATCATTTATGGTAACAAAAGCTTCTCCACTTTCACTAGCACTCTGATAAAAGTTGATGTCTTTCACTGATTTAGTCAACTTGATGTTCAGTTTATCACAGATTGAAATTAGAAGAGCGTTCAGATGGATTTTATGCAACACATCTCTTTCAACGGTCACCTAGAATTTCTTTCTAGCCTAGAGAAATTATAATATAATTGAATTACATGCTCTGTAATAAAATCCCATATATTTTGTGTTGAAGTTGTCTGATACTCTTCCATGTTGAATATCTCATGGAGGTAATGCAACACACATTTCTTGATGTTTTCTGATCTGAATCCTGCCTCTTCATCATCAGCTAAAAATGTGAGTCCATCTTTAATTAGAATCTTTGCACTTCTAGCTATAACTTCAATCACTGCTAACTCTCTAATGTGATTTAATTGAGCCTATTATGTATTGAACATAATTTTAAATATTTACAAGTGTGCATAACTTTCCAAGATGCCTCATTGTAACACCTCTTGAATGCAGGAGAAACTCAAGCTACTCAGCTGTCTATGGATCTTCATCAACATTATTCAGTTCTTCAATTAGTCTTTGAAGTATTTCATCTTTTAGTTTCTGCCCTGCTCTCAGTATCTCTTCTTGATCACTAATTTTTTCACTATTAATGGTATTTTTAAAACATTAGAATTTTACTTTTTATCTTTGGTGTTAGAAATATCCATGAAGGCATCACTGTTTAAAGGTATTTTCCTGTACTGCAACTCATAATATCTTCTTCCAGTGTTTTAATCCTCCCAAAATTTTAGTCTATCTTTTGATGCTAGCTCTTTAAATACTATTTTATTGACTGGATACTTAAATCTCTCTGTTGGTAGCAACTCATTGTAACACTTTATACAACAATAATATTGGACTAGCAATCTCTATTACTTATCAACACTTTTCTTTTCAAAATAATAGTATTGATAATCTAAAATATACTCTCCACACTCATCGCATTTAATTGGTCTCTTCCAAGTAAAGTAAGTAAAATTTGGAGCTGGTTCGTTTTTATTGTTACTTATTACAAGCTCAGATCTCAGTTATTTTGAAAGCAAATCTAGGAATGATGATTATTAGTTTTGCTATCTTAAGGATTCATCCTAAGGAAATAATCTAAACGGGTTTATTAGATATAATTTCTTATCAGAATCACCCATCTCTCTATTTCTGTGAAGCTAAACTGTATAGGGTAGGAAGGTTCTCTTGATCTTCTTGGTAGTCTTTTCCTCAATAAAATGAGTCTTCAGATTTAATACCTATGATATTTTAGCAGCCATTTGTTCTGCATCAGTATCTTCATCTGTAAACAGTAATCCATCCAAATCGGAACCATAGGCTAATGAGTTTATTGAGATTGGTGAAAGGCTCTAAACTTCAAATTTCAATCCATAATAGTCTACTACACAAGCAAGTGGCACTACTAGTTATTCTAACCTATTCCTTAGTAATGCCAGATTTCTAACATCTAATGAAGCTATTTTACCTGAAATTTAGATTAAAGCAGAACCTGATTCAACTCCTGGTCCTCCAGGTACAGTAGCAGTCATATGATGCGTTTCACTTAGTTAATGCCCACAAATCAACCAATCTTTTGCTCTTCTAATAATCATTCCACCTACTATGAATTTATCCCCATCATCTCCATATAGATTGAATAGATTCAAAGGAGTTGGATTTTTCTTGACAACCAAATGAACTGCATAGAGGGAAGCTTTTCTAAACTCCTCAGACAATCTTCTATACTAAGTTTCAGCTTCTATCAACTCATTGAGTTACGGGTTATTATGCAAAGTACTAGTGAAGCCTTGCTGCATTTAGAATTGCTGCTCATCAGATAGTAGGAAATTTTTGTTTTTAATTATAAGATCTGATAGGTAAGCTGCCTCAGCAGTCCAATCTCTATAGAATGGCCAAGAAAGCTTATCAACATCTACATCAAATTTATTCATATCAACAATAGATGGGAAATCTGAGTTTGGACCTCTTAATGCTGGTTCTGATCTATCTTTTGAATTCAGGAATCTTACATCAGCAATCTTTATATCGTCAAGTGGCTCTCTGAGGATAACTTTGAGATGAGATTTTGGAGAATTAAGTGTTATACAAATGATAATATCCTCTTCTATGTCAAAGTTCTCTACATCCATCACATATTGAATATTAGACAACTCCCTATACTTGAAGTACATATTAATTTAGTCAACATCAAAGCCAAATTCCTTTCTTATCTTGTTTTTCACATCTATCACATTACTATTTTTATTGATAAAGAATGAGTAGAGTTTTCTTTCCAAGATCATCTCGTCATTTTTATAATCATTTCCATCATTGAAAGCATGAATCATCAAAATTCTTATAAGCACATTTTGAGGATTGAGTCGCTCTCTTTCTTCTTACTCCAAGAAGTTATCCTTTATTCTCTGTAAGTCTTAGACATTCAATCTATCTTTCTGGACATTCTAATACTAGTTTGATGAATCATTATCATAAGAGGAAATGATTTAGGGTTGAGGAGTATATTGTTATATTGGCTATTATTATTACATAGGCTAAAACTATTATTATGGAGGTCTTCCAACAGGGGTTTCAGTCTGATATTTTGGATCCTTATTAACAAATGCAATATTATTCAGGCTACTTTGCTCAGCTTAATAATTGTTTCTAATAATTGGACCTTCAGATTTTTAATATCCATTGTCAAAATTATAGTATTCTTTGTTGGTTTTCTCAAAATCTTAATCCTCTTCAACTTTTTTAGATGGACCTACATTCATCTTATTTTATCCTAGAGGAGAATCATTCGTCTTTTTCCTATCATTCAGATTTATTGCTCGATTTTCAATATTTGTTGCAGGAGTTTTTTGAATCAAAGGTTTTACTTCATTAATTGGAGCAAACACATTATTGTTTGATTTATTAGAAACACTATTATATACTTAGCTCTCACCTGTTTAGTGAAAAGTATTTATTTGGTTTTGACTCGTAATAGAGTTTCCTTCATCAATTTTGCGATAGTTTTATTCGATTGGAGAGATAATGGGATTTGCGAATTTATTGTCCATTTCTGTCAAGGAGTTCTTGAATTCTCTCATCTATTTTTGATAAGCATCAATTGCTGTATTCAAGTCTCTTGAGACAATTGGCTGATCATTTTTAGGTTGAACAATTTGCTAAGGTTTTTTTTCAAAAGATTCTTAAAACATGTTTATCATATCTTTCTTAGAATCTTTCTTCTATGGAGGAGAATCCATTAGTTCAGCTTTCATATTTTGTAAGTTCTATTTCATTTGCATTTATTTTTCTATCAATTCTCTTTCGGCAGGATCAATCAAAGGAATGTCATTCTTGATACTTGGAATACTCGGTTAAGTTTTGATCTGAGAATTCTAAGTTTATTATTTGTTCGGAAGTGGTCTATTTTTTAATGACTTATTGCTATGATTTGTGTCTTATTGAAGTTATGGAAGTGATCTCTCAGCATCATGAAACGTATTTCTCGTAAGACCTAATGACTTGTGTGATTTTTACGATTTTCTTAGCGTATTTCCAGCACTCGGATTATCCTCATCAAACTCCTCCTCGAATTCTTCCTCACCATCCTCCTCTCCCTCCTCCTCATCTGCTTGCTTTGATAAATTAGAACGATTATTGGGTTGCTAAATCTCAGACCCCTTTAAAGAGCTATTTGGGTTTCTATTTTAGCCTTTAAAAGGCTGACCATTTGCAGGCTGTTTTTAAAATGGCAGCTCTTTTTCTGTAATTGGTTTGACTAAAAACATATCTTATTAAGAAAGGATTACCTTAAGATTAATTAGGGTTGTTTGGATTAATATTGCTAAAATCTTCTTTGGGTTTTTAAGCATTAGCAGTTACTTTAGTTGCTTTAGTTTGACCACATCCCATTTCTTATAATCAAATTTTTAATAATTTACAATATATTTTACTTCGAATACCCTTAGTTATCTTTGAAATAAATAAAGATTAGTAATAATACCAAATAATTTAATAATAAAATGACTAATGTTAATCAAGCATAAAATGATTTTCTCAGCAATCTTTTGCAAATGAAGTATTAATATGACACTGAAGATTCAGACGATAACTACGACTCTAGCAAATACTTGTAAAAAAGCTGACTTAGTGAAGTCCAATAACCTATTCTAATATAAAACCAATATGAAATTAGAGAAAATAAAAGTTTTGATAATTTTACTTCCAGATAATAATATCAATACTCCAAATTAGATTTGAATGAATCTAAAATAGAAGACTATAGCATTAGATATCAAGGCAGAACTAATTTAAAGGTCAAATAAAATTACAAATTAAGTGTTTAATGATTCAAATAGCTCAAGCACTCAATAAGCGATAATATAAGTGTTAGTATTTCAAGAAACTAGCATGGATTGAGTCACTTAGCATGAGACAGCTACACTTTAAAGCTAAGTTAGGATTATGAATCAACAAAAAACCATTAGAAATTGAAGAAATCAACAAAAATTGGACGTAAGCATCTGCCTTTGGTAAATCTAAGTCAATCTTCTGATATATTAATGCCTCAGCTCAATAATTTCAACCATAATGCTAGAAGTAATAGTAATATAAGTAGGTATTAAGATACTAGTTATTACTCTAACTTTATATAGAATTTAAGGAATAGTATGAACACTTGCAATAACTTAAAAATTTAATTCAATACAAAAAGAGACTCATTAGACAAATAAAGACTCAACTAAGCTTAAATAGATACTAGTTGCTAATTGAAAAAGATTTAGTCCTATAGAAACAGAATATCGCTTGTTTCTTTGAGTAAACTAAAGAAATAATAAGAGAAGGCATTATAATAAAATGAAAAATTAATTTAAAAGGAAAGTAACGCATAGATTAAAGAAAATCTAAGATCTCAACTTCTAAAATTTTACTTAGATAAACAAAAGTTCCGACAAGAAAGAGCCTAAAGAGGTTTAAATGAAAAACAAAAGTTTATTAAGGTAAAGTAAAATCTATTAAAAAAATACAATTTTGAGAAAGAGATGATGCTATAGAAAATGAAACTTGATGTTTCATCAAGCAAGAGCAAAATAGAGTTGCTTTTGAATAATTTAAATTCCCCTATTTGAAATTTTGATATAAAAAAGGCAATAAATAAATTAATTAATTGATATTATCTTAACACTTAATATTGACTATGATATGATAATGGGGTTTTGGGGTTTTGGGGTTTTGGGG